AGGCCTGCCCCTTTCTGAACAGAAACAGAGTGGATAGGGGCTATAAAGTTAATTAATTAATTAATAAAAAAAACAACTCTAGCTGCTCCCCCGGTGAACATGAGATTTGATTCCCAGCACTCACATGGCAGCTAACAAACACATCGAACTTCAGTTCCAGGGGATCCAACACATCATCTGGCCTTTGTTAGCACCAGGTATACATGCGGGCAAAACACTCACATGTGTGAAATTCTTTAAAAAATCTAAAAAACTGACTAATGAGTATATAGCATTTAAAAAAATATGTCTTATCAATGAAGCTTCCCTTTGCAGCAGATGAAGACCATTACAGAAATCCACAAGTGGTCAACATAACAACTGATCAGCCCTAGTTGAGACATCTACATCAACACAACTCCTACACCCAAGGTTCAGGGACCATCACATGAGAGTGTGTGGACAGATTGTAAGAGCCAGGGGCCTAGAACGTCTGCTGCAAGAGTGTGTCTTCTATGTACAACAGGGAAGCTGCACCCGTGACCTAAACAAGTCCCAAACAATGACACCACCCGCTGACATGCTACCAGGAATGGAGGGGGTCTCACCAGGCCCCACCCCCTAGAGCTATAGGTAACTAATAGTTGCTGAGAGAGGGTGGTAGGTCACTTGTCTTCCACATCATATGTTCACTTTTCTAGTTGCTACTGTTCTACTAAGTTATGACACATTGTGAGTTAGCTGAAGCACTGTGACCCTTCCTGGGTCATATTGGTCATATTGACCCATATTTGTGGGTCAGCTCAATATCACTCACATTGATTGGAACTTTACTTCCCTGACATCCTCCCATGGATCCTCTTCCTGGTCTCTGAAGCTACCCAGGATTAAGAAGGAACTGTGAAATGCATATATTGGAATATTGTCTTAGCTCAGGTTGCTGTCACAGAATACCATAGGCTGGGTTGTTTAAATAGCAGGAATCTATTTTCTCATGGCTCAAAAGGTGGACCTAAGAGACCATGGAGCCAGCACAGCAGGTCCTAGAGATGGAGACAGACACCTCCCCAACTATGTGCTCACATGTAGAAGGAGGGAGAGCAATCGCCCCAAGACTCCTTTTATGAGGACATTCATCCTGACCTTACAACCTCACCTAAACCCAGTCACCTCCCCCACACCTACCTGACCCCTATCGTGCTGAGATTTCTACAAAGATGATAAAGATGGTGATTGTCTCCAACAACTGCCTGTTTCTACCACTATTTCAGAAAACCACCTTTCCTGGACTGTGTGTGTGACCTATTTTGTTTCAAAATTGCTAGACGGATCCGGAGTCTTCAGTCAAGGGCCCTCTGTCCTCTCCAGCGAATGCGGTTGGTAAGTAAATTAAACCGTTGACTGTAAATCAAACTCTCAGCCAAGTTCATCCATCTGACAGCTGCCTCCCCCCAAATATGGTGCATAGTGAACTGAAAACGAGGCGCTCCTTGCACCTGTGTGTGAGGCAGTCTTCATGAGAGCATGGCTCGGCACTGCCTATAGGCTGGACACAGTGGAAGGAATGTGTCTAAGTTAATAAGACTATGCGAGCTGAGTATAGTGGCACACATCTACAGTCCCAGCATTTGGGTGCCTGGGACAGGAGGATTGCAAGTTTGAGGTCAACCTAGGCTATGTAGCAAGCCTCTATCTCAAAAAGGAAAAAAAAAAAAAAAAAAAAAAGATGATACAACTATCTGTGGTGGAAGAAAATGTTCTCAGCAGCATTCAGTCTTCAAGCTGAGCAGTCAGTACCTAAACCTTCTGTGTGGCCCCTCTTATAAGGTCCTTTTAAATGGACACTGTCATACCTCTCTAGAGAAAGAAGTGACTCAGGGAGCTTGAAGTCCTGCCCAAGCCACTGGTTAGGGAGCAAGGTCAAAAGTCAAACTCAGATGTCCTTCCCCAGGACTGGATTTCTCCATCACCATGATAGTGTATAAATTAAAATCTACCAAGTAAAACTGAAATACCATTGGCCCAACATGCACAGTCCACGCTCACTCCCGAGATCCTTTGGTCTTTAATATCCAAACTTCGGCCCTCTGCCTGGATGGAGAGGCTCCTTAGCATGGAATCCCTTAGCTGGAGAGGTGGAGATACACAGAACAGCAGGGTCGAGTGGAGGACCGGAAGCTTGTGGTGGATCAGCTCACCAGCCTCACGTCCTGCCGTAGAGCTCAGAACTGGACAGAGGCAGAACCAAGTCTCCCTAAGGCAATGGCTGAATCCAGCTCAGCTGAGCAGCCTGCACGCCATGGAACAGCTCTTCCTCATCAGAAACACAGACCCTGTGGGATCACCAAAAGCCTACTTTCTTTTTTCTTGAAGATGTGCATATACGTAGGGTTTGGGGATTTAGCTCAGTGGTAGAGTGCTTGCCTAGCAAGCACAAGGCTCTGGGTTCGGTCCTCAGCTCAAAAAAAAAAAAAAAAAAGATTTGCACGCGTGTGTGTGTGTGTGTGTGTGTGTGTGTGTGTGTGTGTGTGTGTGTGTGTGTGTGTGTGTGTGTGTGTGTGTGTGTGTGCGCGCGCACACGCGCCCACTGAGGCCAGAAGGTTTCAGATCCCCTGGAGTGGGAGTTAGGGGCAGATGTGAGCTTCCCGGTGTGGGTGCTAGGAACTGAACTAATGGCCTCAGGAAGAGCAGCAAGTTCTCTTAGTCACTGAGTGCTCCTCCATCCCCAACAAGCATAGGCTGAGAGGAAGGCTTCCTGAATTGATTATACCATGATTTTACAGGATAAAAAAAAATGAATACTTTTCTTTCTCAATGAACAACTAACTGCTTGCAGTTGTTGAAGTCTGAATATGGAATGCTCCCCATAGTCTCGTGTCTTAGGTACTCATTCCCTGGCGGGTGACATCGTTGGGGAGGCCGTGGATCATTTGAGAAAGTGATGTCTAGCTGTTGGAAGTATGGTCCCCCAGGGATGGGCCTCTGTGGGTTTCCCTGGGTCCAGCTGACTTTGGCTTCCTGTTCTGCCATGATAGGAGCCACCTGACCACATGCTCCACAGTCATGAGCACCACGCCTCCCCACCCACACACCCCCCCCACACCCTCCATGGAGACTGAGAGTCACAATAAATGCGTCCTCTGTTCCACTGTGTTTGTGGTTTTGGTAAGAGGTAACTCATTAGTTATCTTGCTAACCCTCTTCCCCAAGTTGTTTCAGTCCCACGGTTCTTCTCCTGAGATGCACCAGGAGTGCAGGAATGAAGATGGCTTTTCAGCTGTACATTCTTCAGAAAAATTAGATAGGTGGTGTAAAAATACTACTTTTCATGCAATAAGAATTTTAAAATGCACCAGGCGGTGGTGGCGCACGCCTTTAATCCCAGCACTCGGGAGGCAGAGGCAGGCGGATCTCTGTGAGTTTGAGGTTAGCCTGGTCTACAGAGTGAGTTCCAGGAAAGGTGCAAAGCTACACAGAGAAACTCTGTCTGAAAGAGAGAGAGAGAGAGAGAGAGAGAGAGA